TTTTTTTGAGTGAAGTGGGGTTATGGCATTGGGAGGGCGCGCAGAGTGGAGTGTCGCAGCGTGCGGAGCTGTCGCGCGCAGAGCAGGTTGAGGTATACCATACCGTTGCGGTGCACGGCTTGTTTGACTCTGCGGTATACGGGAGGGAGAGAGAGAGAGAGAGGGTGAAGTGTTGGGAGGGAGGGAGGTTTACCACGGTCGGGAAGTGCAGCAGCAGTGCGACTCGTGTGGGCACGCACCGAGCCCGGGGGATTCACGCGAAACACGCGCGAAACACGCGCGAAACACACACACACACACACACACACACACACACACACACACACACACACGACGATGTGAAAGGTATGAGGGCCGGCGGCGCCGCCGCTCGTGTCTACGACGCGGGAAAGAAATAACACAGAGTAGAGGATGAACGTGAGGGATCCCACGCTACTGTAGCAGACGACGCTCTGTAGTAGTGGGCGCGGGCATAGCCAAGCCAGCCGGCGCCGCCGCAGCGAGGTGCTAACCAACCAGCCGAGCCCGCACCACACCGCGCACTGTCGCGCCACGCCGTGCCGTACTCGCCGCTTGCTTCCGCGGACACAAAGCTGCTGCTGGCCATCTACGGCGCACGAGACGCGCGACTTTTTAATGAAATTCCTTCGCGGTGCGAATCGACTCGCGCGGCCGCCACCGCCGACGCCTTCCCGCCGATCCGGCCGAGCAGTCTGTGTCGTCTCAGCATCGGATCATATTAAACCCGCGGCGGGTCGGGCAGACCGACGCAGAGCGAGCGAGCGAGCCCGCCACTGTTGGAAAAAAATTGTTTCGTCTCAGAAATAAAATACACGCTACATTATTTGCCTTTTCCATTAGTTCCTTTTTAAGCAGATGGTATACGCAGTTATCGTCAGCTTGTACTCTCCGTAAAGTTCAAAGTGTTTTTTTAAACACTCTTCATTTCATATATTGGTTTGTCACTCCCATTTAGCACTATGGGGGATGACAAAATTAATCCACCAAGACCCGAGTGTATAATAATAAAAATAAAATAAAGAAATAAGAACGCAGCGTGTTTTGTACTCCACAAAGTATACAAAGCGACAGCAGAGCCCATGCCACATGGTTTTCCTAGAACTACAGCGCTCTATGAAATTATACGCCTTTTGCACCGGCGTGAAACACTTTCTTCTCCCTTTTGGTTTCCAGAGGCAAAGCTATGCCCGCGGCTTTTGGTCGCGTCAGCTGATGGACCTCCCCGGAACTCGACCTAAAGCTACCCCTGAGGCAGCGCTCCCGCCCCACCCCGGCAACCCCACCCCACCGCTCCGGTAGAGTGCCCGTGAGAGCGGCAAAACCCCCAGCGGTGTTACTCTCACTTCGACAACAATGTAAAAAACAAAGGATTCCAGTCGCACCTTTGCAGAGTGTGCTAAAGACATTTTTGAGTTTAATGCCTTTGAAAAGGCCTAAAGGTGCTAAAAAAATTAATGTCTTTCGCAAGGTTATTAATGCCAAAATTAATACCCCTAAAGGCACTCATTCTTCAACACTTTTTAAAGGCGCGACTTGGACACACTTTCCGCGGGTGGATTCAAATGTTGGCGCCGCGAGTCACGTGTCCGACTGCTGTTCGGGGGGGATTACCATACCTCGCTCACTTGCGCCTCACTGCTCGAGAAGAAAGAGCCGGAAAGAGCAGACCACTGGAAAAGAAACAAACGGAAGTAAAAGCCTATGGCGCCTCTCTGGAGGAACGGGGGCACTCCTCTCACTCTCGCCGTGTGACGATGAAGCGAAGTGACAAACCTTTTCACTGAAATCGAATTCGATAGAGGTCGTTTCAGTCAGGGTGGGGGGAAAAGGGCTATGCCCCCCCCCCCCCCCCCAACCTACCCTTTCCTTCTCCCCTGTCAGCCCTAGATAGCCCAGGCCAACACGGTACACGGTGCCGTTCCTCTTGGCCCTCCTGGAGTCCAGGACCCTCCTTGACCGAGGCGTACAACACAGGCTGCTGTGAGTGTATGCTCGTCACAATTTTTATTTTTAATTCTCTTCATGTGTACAATAATCGACCAAATACACGTATGTGGGTGGAAACTGTTCATCACGGTATTGTACAGTATTAAGACGAGAGAATTAGCGTGCGGCACGCAAACATTTAAAAACGGCACAAAAGCTTTCCACTCCCATAAAAAAAAATACAAGTCGTACGTTTCCCATGTGGAAATCCCAAGTCTACTCATAATGTGACGAGTAACTTTACAACAAGTTGAAGTCGTGTAACCTTTGAAGAATTTGCATTTGTATAATTTATAGCGAGGTGTTTCATAAACGTTTACGACACTCGTCGTTGAAAAAAATGACCCCGTGCAAACCTTATTCCAGCAAATGTTTTCGCACAGTGCAGAATTGTTTCGCAACTTGCTAAAGCCCGTTCTTTTCTCCGGAAGCGCAGGTGCGCGGTGGTGCAGCTGTGTGTGTGGCCATAGCCATTACAGCTTCGGACTCGACCAAACGCAAGCCTGCACACAACAACGTGAGGTCAAGCTTGAGGTGCCCACCACACCTCTGTTACACTGTTCGGAAAAACAGGCAATAACTCAAACTTTCACCAGAGCGCAAAGCGACGGCGATGACACCGCGGCGAGATTCACAGGCGAACGCGGGTGAATCCTCTCTGTTTGTTGAAATGAATCGTCAAACAGGCATCACTACGCTGCTGTAAAACGTCATTCGCAGCGTCAACGCCACATGACGTGGTGCACTTCACGGTGCTCATGGTGTCCGAGGGGAGGGGGGGGGGGCTCCGGCGGTGCGGGCGGCGGCGGCGAGCACAACGCCACCGTGACCAAATCAAATAATACCATTTCGCGTCGCTCCCAATGAGATGTCATTCATTTGCTTTCACGAAAAAAAAACGACACGTCGTCCTGGTCTGATGTAAAATCGAGCAGCCCCTGGTAATGTGTTCAAATCCCATTGGAGCAGGTCCTTGGTTTCACACCCGAATGCTTGAAAACCGGGAGGTTTGTTTGTTTTCACCCTGTCCAATACGGGATTTCGACGACTTCAAGTGACCCCCCCTCACCCCCCCCCCCAACTTTTCTCCCCTGAATCCGAGCTAGGGCAAGGCGGGGCGGGTTATTGCGGCGGGGTGGGGTGGGGTGGCGCCAAGGCCGTTTTGGTCGCGGGCACAGACCGCTTGGCGCGCCCGGGGAGGCCATCGAGTCCATAACGGCCGCACGGCCGCACGTTGCAGAGCGCTCAGCGCCGCTCAGCGCCGCTCAGCTGACCAAGTCGATGGGACGACCGGACCGGACTAGGGGCGGTTGATTGGCCCGTATTGTGTGCAGTCTGCGCTGCGAGCCACTGTCGCTCGGGGCGGGGCGGGGTGAGGTGAGGTGAGGTGGGGTGAGGTGAGGTGGGGTGTGGCGGGGCGGGGTGGGGCGCTATCCGCGCATGGTGCACTTGCCACCGGGGCCCGGGTCGCCGAGTGCTGCTGAGCGTTGCTGAGCACAACCCGACACCGCCCCGCGGCGCCGGTCACGAGGCCCCGGGCTGGCTGCATGCTGACTGCAGGCTGACTGCAGGCTGACCGAATGCTGACGGTAGCGAAGCCGCCGCCGCCGCCGGGCCCCGATTGCATCGCGCCAGGCGCATAGTGCTTCAGCTTGACCTGCTGCTGCTGCTGGCTGAGTGACGGGCAGCCCACAGGTGAACCCCGTCAATGGAGCCGATTGAATTGAACCGTTACACGTCTACTCCTGACATTGACCGGTCCCCTAAACCGTCGGCCAAAGGGAAAATTTGGCAATCCGTCCTTTTCATTTATTATTTTTGAAACATTGATATTGCACTGCCTGAGGCAAGGCAAATGAATCTACACAGACTGTGATTGAGCAACAACAAAACCATATTCTTTCTGCTACACTGGCAATAAAATAAAAGCATGGTCGACACCAAGACAAATGCTTGAGTAAGATGCCACACTACAGCCTGCAACTTTCTATTTTGCAACCTCCACACGCGAACATTTGAAAAATATTAGAACTCACCAGAACCAGACTTATTGTATTGCGACCGTGATCAATAATCACTCACGGAAGCAGAAATAGTATAATTCTGTACTATGAACAAATATGAATGACTCACCTCAACCTTCTTCTTCTTGGACTTCATGTTGTTGTTTGTTGTTGTTTTTATTTGTTATCTTATCAGTTCACATTGGAGGCAATTTCTTCCTGGCAGTTTCTGAAAGGAAGAGCACAAATTTATGAACGAGAAACCTTGTAAAAATCATAATACTTGACAAAATTTTAAATAACGTTTTCCAGAATAAGAGAAGTTGGGAGATAACTTTCCAAGAAATAAAAGACAACTTTGGCCACATATCATAATGACAACATATTTTGTCAAATATGTAATGACATCCACTAAAAGAAAATTTAAGAAATGATGGAATGAGAGAGTCATGAGAAAACAGAAAAGGTATTTTTGAAGCTGGGTGTACAAACTACTAAAAAGAAAAATTTTAATTCAACTTACTTACAAGTCAATGTTATGCTCTGAGGCAACTTAACCTCGAAAGCACATGCGATTCTTCTAAGGCATTGTAGGTTGGTGAGTTTGACTCATTCTTTTTAAGAACGAAAGCAGCGACATGAAAACACGTTCACACGACACCCAACTCGTCCATATCACCGAGGCATGCTTCGACAACACATGAAATTCCTGAACAACAACCCGCTCGGAGACGTCTGTCCAGTACCAAAGCTGGCAGTGGAATGCAAGCAGACGATCCGGGCTAGATCCGGAACAGACAGCTTCCGCCACTGGAAACACACAGCTCGACGTGAGTATTGAATGTATTTGTTCGCGCAGGGCGAGAACATGGTCGATTATAAAGAGAATTTACATGTCGATTCTTCAATATTTTTTCAAATTTCAGCTATACCAGCTCTGAGCCAGAAAAAGTGCTTCATTACAGTTCACTTTTCACGCCGAAAAGTGGCAGCAGTGAATGGGCGGCCCTGGAAGGCGGAGTCAAAATCGCGATCAATACAAATGGTTAACATGCAGAGGGGTTTGCACGGATTGAAAGTTAGTTTTAAGGCGCATGGGTCGCAATACGTCCCGCGACTGTCGGGTTTTAATTTTCGACTTTGCGGGAAAACGCCGCGCGACGTTCGTGGGGGAAATGGCCGGGGCAACTACTGGGCAATCTGGACAGTCGACGAGCGCATGCGCGCGATTGGGACCAATCGGAGGACTCCCGGAGGGAAGTGCGAAGCGAGGGCGGGAGAGGCGTGTGGGGCTGGAGGGATGGGCCTGGAGAATTGCAGTGATTGGAAAGGATTTGCAGCACCGAGCCGAGGGCGGAGTCATGCGCTGCCGCCCCCTCTCGGCGTGCGTGTGAGCGCATTCGAAGGGTCTCAATCAAACATATATACCATGCTACGATATTTGGCGGCACAATTTGCACTTGAGTTTGTCGTGGTTAAAAATTAATGATCCCTAATAGAGCATTCTTTTTGTTTATTTAAAAGAATCTGAAGTACATGAAGAGACAAGTGCTGAAAAAAACAAACATGGAAAATCTTATCTTGAAATCTTCATTTAAAAGAGACGAGCAAAGTGACAGCATATGCCCTCAGAAATTGGCTTTGGAACAAGACAAATGCAAAAATTCATAGCCAGCAAACAATTCAAATTGAGAACTTCGGATAAAACAGCAACATAAATAGTAAACGGATAGGGTACATGGTGAATGTTCAACACATTGACTAAAGTATAACCACACAGTGGTCAAAACCAGCCTCTTTAATCTACAGAATTTGCCAATCAGTTAAAACGGCAATTGACAAAAAGGTCATACAAAAGAGATAAATAAAATTTCCCAGCATTTTCTTGGAAGCTCTGTTCAAGCAATACTTTATGAGCTTCTGAGTTGTACATAAATAAACCTCATTTAATAAAATACTTAAAAAATATATACCTTGCATTAAAATTTGAAAGAGAAAATAACTAATATACAGTAGTAGAATTAATTAATCACAGCTGAGACTTGGTCAGGTCAAACATTCTTAAAAGTATGGGAGAAAAGCCCTGACACTTTTATAACACTATATCCCTATTTAACAAAGACTAACTAAGACAAAGGTCTTCAGACAAGGACTAGAATATACCTGGGTTAAGATGATAACCATAATTCACTTACCCCTATCAGGTCATGAAATAGGCACGCAATACATTATTTCTGGCACATCATACTAATACAAAAATCCAGTTACAAATCAAATATACAACAACAAAATGATAAATTATGATGCATCTTTTGACACTGTTAATACCGATGATTCAGACCGGTGTCTTAACTACTCATTCAAAAGATTATGACGCGAAACTTTCAGAACATCATTGTGGTCCATGCTTTGCAGGAAGTTTGAAGTTTTACATAAACTTTTCAAAAAATGTTTTTAGAAAAATCTATAAAACCTGTCCCTTTATATTTCATTTAAGCCCAACAAAATTTTAGAAATATTTTTGTCTGGAATGATGATATGCTCCACTTATGCACCTAATGAGGCATATTTAATTTTTCTTTTGCTCTAAGAAAACCATCCTTAATTGCTTGCCTGAAAACATATTTTTAGAGAACAATAAAATTAAAATTACATAACTCTGGTATTGAAAATACAAGGAAGAATGGGTTAAAGTTGGATACCTGAATGCAGTCTGATGAAGTAAATATGCACCAACATGTCCAGTATTGATATAGCGCACTTCTGCTCCAGGCCAAACATCTGCAAGGTGGGTTACCCCCTCTCGAGGTACATATCCGTCTTCTGTCGCACATATAGCAATAATGAGAGAAGTATCAACAGGCACTGAAAAGTTTTTGAGATGAGTACACTCATCCATGATGCCCCGCATGAACTGCATGGCTTCTGCATCACGGACTTTTGCTGGTGAAATTCCCAACAATGAAAACGGAAGCTTCCGTCCGACAACTGTGGAAAGAAGAGGAACTATAAGGAGAATGGCGGAGTGAGAAAGTGAACAAGTGAGCAAGAGGAGAAGGGGAGAAAAGTAGAGTGAAAGAAATTGGGAAAGGGTGGATATAGAGAGGAGTTTCAGGGCAAAAACAAAGCAGAAAAAATAAAGGAAAGTCCAACAGCCAACCCGGCCTTTTCCTGGTTTACCTTGGTTTAAGTCACTTGACAAATATGATGAAACAGTAGACTTCCTGTGCACAGCAAAATCTGTAAGCCAAAGTGTCTGTCTTTGATTGTTTGGTTGCTGAACAAATGGAGAAGAAACAGAAAAAGTATCTCCTTCCTCAACTATAGTTTTTGAAATTTGAAAGGGTAAAAACTCATAGGAAGATGAAAATTGGTAAAATTATATGATGATAAATGTAATGAAGGGAAAAGGTTCAATTTTGATGTTGGATTTTCCTTACACTCAATAAACAACCTGTATAATAACCTCTAACTTTGAGATAAGTGATTAGATACTTAGGCCTTGCAATGAAAAATACAGTAAATGCATGCATTTAAGGTAGTTTGCTTCAGGAATGTTATGCAGGGAACTTCAAAAGAAACAAAGAAACCAAGGGCCAAGGGGAATATCTATCATGCTTATAAAATATGAATCAACATTACCTTTCCTCAACTGATAATCCTGCACTTCTCTTTTCACATCAGCTGGCTGGTCTGATGATGACTTAACTTTGTACGTCAGCATTTGTAATTTTGAGTCCGCTAAGCTGTCAAGAATATCTTTACCTAGTCGTTCTTTCTCCTTCTCGGCATCAGTTTTCTCCCTTTCAGTATCAGTTTCAATGGTGTTTGACATAGCTGCAAATGACTTTGCTAGCAGGTCTACCGAATCATGTTTCTTTTCATCCCCTTCTGCCATTAATGGACAGCTTCCAGGGTCTTTAGAAGAGAGTACTTCAGATGCAGGGATTCCGTTAGAAGATTTTAAATTGGAATCAGACTTTTCTTTTTCATGTTGTTGGTCTGGCTGCAAGTTCTGAAGATTGTCTATTTTGTCAGAGTATTTTTTTATGAAATGCTGTCCAGCTTTAAACGCATCCTAAAATTAAATTAGACAAACAAAAAAGTCAAATTTCACACAAGGGCAGCTCCTTTTCCTTCAATTGCAATGTTTACTCGCACTTAAACTCAAAAGGATGGCAAATTTTGGCAATTGAAATACTCACATCTTCTATTATAGTGACCATTTTGCGAATTTCTTCTCTATAAATGTCATCAGAAAAGTATTGATAGTTGAGAACATCCCAAGGTATTGCTCCACTCATCACACCCTAGAAGAGTATGTCATATAAGTATTCAAGAATTATTTTTGTAATCAAAGAGGAAAATACCAAATTTACCTCAGTAAAGACACCAGACGCTGTAGACCAAGATAAGCAAGGTACAAGGACAATAGGTTTTGGCCAATTGGTGGCAGCAAGCGATGCCATCTGTGTAGCATTAGATGGATCATGAATTACATACAAACCAGATATACGACCTTTTTTTTTTTTTTTTTTTTTTTTTTTTTTTTTTTTTTTTGCAATTAATTAAGAAGGTGGTTTTCAGAATATACTTACATGTCCACCCATGGACAACCCTGTCACACCAAGAGGCCCCAAACCCTGTTGCTCACACCAGTTGAATAGTACCAAAGACTCAAGCATCAGGCACCCACCCATTACAAATATGTCTGATACATTATGAAGATTTGACCGACTGAAGAAAGAAAAAGACATTTTAGCATCTAATGACAATAATTTTTAGCTTAGATTGTAAAATTAGACACTCACACTTGATCTTCAGGTTTCCTAGATCCATAAAATGGATTTTCTAAAATTATGCCTCCTATACCAGCTTCCCTCAGCAGAGGCTTGCACATGAAATTTCTTCGTTTCCAAAAATACTGTGAACACACGTGGGAAGAAATATGGTCAAACATTAAAAGAATGGAAGTGTAAAGAACACCCTATTCTATTATTAAAGGTAGCGCAAATATATAGATTCTCAATAGAACATGATCAGTAGCCTTACATGATCGCCAGTTCCGGCTAAGTGAAGGCAAACAGGTTTGTAGTTTTCTTCTTTCCACTTTGTCGGCAATATAACTTGAAAATGAGCTTTCTTTACTTCTTCTGGCATGATGTTGGGAAGATGTATATCAAAAGGAGATCTGAAGTGCCCTTCCAGGACTCGATAGTCTGACCACACTTCATCCTAAAATAAGAAATGGCATACACTAATTATTAAAAGCTCAACAACAATTATTTGATGAAATAACAACAAGGAAAACATTGTAAATACCTTTTCAATAGTTATCGGGTAATCTTTAGGAATTAATTTGTAAATATAATCCCTGTTTGATATAATTCGTCTGAACTTAAAAAGCCTGTGAACAGAGAGTGAAGACAAGACACAGAGTAAGTATTGTTTATCAGATGTTCCCAGCTATACACCCTTTCCTAAGCTGAAGGGCATTTCCATTGTTTACTGTTGTTATTATCAGTTAAGTTACTCCATATCAAAAGAAACTTGCAGAAACATAATATAAAGAAAAATGATAGTTTTTAGTAACAAGCAGAGTTTAAAAGGAAATGAGAGCAAAATTATAATTCAACAAAAATGCTTTTTATCATACAACCTAACCTTTTTAAACTGTCTGGTTTACCCCAACCTTTCACGAAATATTTGGATAAAAGAATGCTTCGGTAAATCTGATCCAAACTGCTGTAAGACATTCTTTAGAAACGTAGGAAGAGTGACGACCCAAAATAAAGGCACAAGACGTTTAACAAAATTTTGAGGATTGAAAGTTTGGTAGCAGAACACTCATTCTTGACTTGTTGACTGACTTTAACTGACTTTTCAACAGGCAGGCGGCCGTGCTCGGATCTGATTGGCGCTTCTAATCCCCATCATGCACTTCGCGGAGCGCGCGTTTTTTCGAACTTTTCAAATATGTTTGAATCGAGATAGTGAAACATATTCAACTACCGTGTTATTGGAAAATTTGAGTCGTTCCCCTTGACGAAACGGCCGAACCAGGGGCTCTAGCCAGAGATTCGAAAAGAAAGAGGGGGGACAAGGAGGGGGAGAGGGGGAATCAGTTCAAAGATTTCAATTAAGTCTTTATTGAAAGATGATATGAATTAGAGAACAATTTTCAATGGATTGGGTCTAAATGAGACTCAGACTAGGTAAAGTATAAGCGTAGATGAACAACATAGAAACACAAAATCATCCAAGTTACAGATATACTTTCAAATGCTATGTATACTTTAAATAATAATCACATCATGCATTCATTCATTCATTCATTCATTGGCTTACACTTATTGGTACACATTTCAGAGCTATGATAAGTTATTCATTGAGTATGTTTTCGGAACATGAAGTACAAAATTGGTTAACACTGAGATAGGCTAAAAATAAATAAAATCAAAGCTAACACAATTTGATTAAAACAACTAAATGAAAATCCATTTTACAGGCCTTCTTGGCCAGTATTGCTTTGAGATCAAATAAAAATTACAGTTGTATGGTAAAACATGCAAATCTACAAGCTAACTGTACAGTTCTTTCATCTAGCCCCTGTCTGATTTAGCAGGACTATTTTCAGCACTTTTCTGTTCAGTATCAGAATTCTTATTTTCCTTCAGAGATAAACTCTTTCTTATTTCCATACCAATACACCGACCCATCGGAGGGGGGACGGCATTTCCAATTTGTCTGTGTCGATCTAATATATTACCAAAAAACCTGTATGTATCAGGGAAGCCTTGAGACCTGGCGCATTCCCGAACACTTACAACTCGAGTTTGTTCTGGGTGAAGGACTCGTCCCTGAAAAAGAAATTGTGTCATTCAATTGGTAAATAGCATGATTTCTAAAACATCTTTTGCATAGATAGATAATTCTCTAACAATTCATACCTGTTTACCCATGGGTTCTGGGTTAGTTACAGTTGTAGAGAAAAACCCATCCCACTCTAAACGACCATACAAGCCTGCCCAATTGTTATGACGATTGCCAGTGTGGGGAAGGCACCATGGAATCAATGTATTGAACTGCCTGAAGATAGGATCACACGCTTTGCCTTCAGCACATGAACAAACACCTCTTAGTGCTCCTGAAGAGGATTTGCCACTCTTTTTATCATGGTGAGAATACAATCTGTAACAAGTAAGCACAATGTCCTGATAGATTAGAAAAGGGAAGATCATGAGAGTAAGAACTATGTTTGAAAGAATATAAACTAACAGTTTCACAGTCATCTTGCCATCAGTCAGGCGAACTGCTATGTTGGGGAGATCTCTCCAATCAGACCCAGGGGCTGTTGGAATGTTAGCCATTCTGGCTTCTACCAGAGGAGCCATTTTTTTACAAACATGGTCTCGTAAGATAGGCATGTATTGGTTTCCACGGATCTGAAAAATGACACAAGAAATAGTGTATTACCTAGGAGTGAGACAACTGGACTTACAAGTTTAAAAAAGACTTTTTAATTAAATGCCAATACCTGCCGTTGAAAATGGGTCAGTGCTTCGCCACCATATGCCATTTCATCCTTACAATGACCATTGCAAATTTCAGGAAGGTCAGACATTGCATCCCGTACTGTGACAGTACGGAAAGGGGCACCATCAGATGTATCTCTCAGTGGACAGAACTAAAAGTTCAAAAAAATTATTATAATATTTTAAAATTATTTGTTTAAAAATTACGTGATTAAGCTGCCCATAGTCTGATTGGTACACTTTCTACCTTTTTATCATCAACAACAATAGTTAGTTGTGAAGCACGTTTGTTAAAAACATGAAGAGCAGTAGGATAATCAGGGAGAACTTCACCTGGGGCTGCAGCAATGATAATCGCTCTGCAAATGAAATTATAACAATTCAAAGAAGTGAAGGTACTGTACATCAAACTGCTGTACATAGAGCTTAGTAGGTATACCAACCATACCTTCTACGAGTTTGAGGAACACCATAATTTCCAGCTTGTAAGACCCCAAATGCGACCTGATAGCCCATTTTTATCAGACATCTGAGGGTAAGTTTCAAGACTATGCTTTTCTTGAAGGCTACAAAGTTTCTAACATTTTCAAGGATGAAAAATCGAGGTCTATAGTAATCACAGTAGGAAAGATACGAGACTACTAGAGAATTCTGCAAAAAAAACAAAAAAACAACAACATATGATGAGTGAGATAACAGTGGCACAAGATAGATGACTATCAAAACATGTTTTCAAATTACCTTGAAAAGAGAGTACTGTCTTGAATTAAAACGGTTCATACCACTGAAACCCTGGCATGGAGGCCCACCACATAATAGGTCAACATCACCCCTTTGGGGTAGTGATTGTCCTTTATCAGTTATCTTGTCTCCCTAAAAATAATGACCATATCCAAATATTCTCCAAATTTATTAGACTAAAATTTAACATAACTTACTAAGGACAAGAGGCTAATATACCTTCATAACAAGTTTCAATAACTCGTTGCAATCGTCTGAGAAGACCGTAGTTTCTGGATTATTGAGTCGGAATGCATTTGCTGCGCTGTCATCTTTTTCTACAGCCCACATTGTTTTGGCAATACCAGCCTGGTGCAAGCCTTCTGACAAACCTTGGATATAATAATAAAATTGAAAATAATTACAGGTGGGTAATTTTTATAAAAATTTAAGATGCAAAACGCATAGAGAAATTTGACAGACATCATCCAAAACTTACCACCACAACCAGCAAACACATCCAGGCAACGTAACTGTTGGGAGACCTTTGGCCATTCTGAAGGCTTTAACTCAGAACTTGTGGAACTGCTGGACTTGCCTTTTCCTTTTCCCTTTCCTTTACCCTGCAACACGGATAAGGTTTAATAGATAGACATTCTAACACACAACCTAATGAAGCTCAAGAAAGTTGGACTTACTTTTCCCTTCATCCCAGCAGATAATCCCCTCATAGAGGGTTCGACAAATGTCTGATTCTTGGAATCATAAGCTTCTCTAAAGAAAAACCTGTGTGGTCCTTGCGCAGACCATTCTGCTTCAGGCCCATCAAGATTGTCACTACAAACAATATAGCATTTGCCAACAACTTCAATTAAGTTGACACACAATTCTGAAACATAGTTGTTGAAGATAGAAAATGCAAATTAAGTTACAGTACATCTTTTATTGTTTTAGAATTAGCTATCTCACAGTGATAATAAAACAAACCTTCTTCACTCCAATACAGCATGTTGAGATCCAGTTGCTGTCCATATGACTGACCTCTGTGGGTATTTTCAGGCCTATACATTTTATTTAGTTGCAAAATTATTTCCCCAGAGGGCTTCTTGGTTATGCTAGAGATGTAACCGATACAGTATGGGTCACAGGTCTCTTCGTTTGACCCCTTCACATGGTCAGAGGATTTTCGGTAATATTCAGGATACATCTCTTCATCAACCATCTGTTGCAAGATATAAAGGAAACAAAGTAATAAAAATACCAATTTTAAAAAAGGATGGTAAGATGTAATTTTTATTTACCCTTTCACGCTTTTCTTTTTTGACTCTCGTCAATGTTGTCCCAAATTTAAAAGTATCTGATTTCAGGTACACACCATGCCCACTTCTATAGTCTTCTCCATTCAGGTAACAAACACCATATTTCATCTGAAATATACATAACACTTGGTAGTATTTAAATTCTGATTAAAACCAACAATGACAAGGACCATCAAGTATAATATTGAAATTTGAATACCTCATCTTCATCTGTTAGCTTGTTGTCAAAAGGCTCCCCAACTGAAGGAGACTTCATAGTCTCAGCCAACCTTTGTCTTTCACAGCATTCACAGAAAGCAACATGCTCTTCTGTTTCTGGGCATACTATACTAGCTGGAACATCTTCAAACCTTCCTCTAATGGGGTCATAAGTTTTCTGGTAAAAAAAGGTTGTGCCATCATCAGGAAAGTCATCAATAGGTAAGGGCTCTCCACCAAGGTTTGACCAATTGGTAGGAGTGCGGCAAAATTGTACTGTGGCGACTTGTGCTATTAATCCAAAGGAAATGTCTTCACATGCTGTCACAACAAAGATTTCCCTAGGATCAGAAGTTTCACCCAGCACTGTATCACAACCTCGTCTGAAATTTGAAGTTCAAAAATAATAATAGCCTAATTCAACAACAATATGCATTGCATTTATGAAAAAAGACAAAATGTTAGATCATACACAAACCACCAGACATGGGCTCTCTTGGAACCCTTCGTATCTTCCCACATTCTGACAACTCTAGCGACAAACAGGGGTGCTTTCGGGTCGTTGGGTTTCACTAAAACACAGTCCATGAGACCAAATTCAATGTTATTGATATCAACTCGGCTGAAATGTGAGAAAATTTCTTTACCATTTAAGTTTTGCCTTCTTTAAATTTTGAAGTTTAAAACAATTTTAAGGGTGAAATAATTTACCTATAGTACTTGCACTGATCATTTGAAAATACAGGTTCTCCTACCCATCGGACCTCTGGCATTTGATCTGGACATAAATCCACCTTCGGTGTTTTCAAAATCATATCTGTGATATTGGCGTTGGTTACTACCTCTTCATCTTCTTCAGCCTCAGAATCATCAGCCTCTTGCACTGCTAAATTAGGACATCTGAAAGGGTGTTGCAGGTATTTGACTTTTTGTGCTTTCATAGACAAAATATAAAGAAAAAGATAGATTTAAAATGACAAATCCTGAAATACCTTCTTTGGTTGCAAGCTTGCTTGCTGCGACCAGACCCCCCAAATTTCACCATGTCTTTGCATGAGGTACATTCTCCACAGTCAGCCATCTGACAGATCTCACAAACCCCACAACGTCTACGACGTGGGCCCTAAGAACAATTCAAGTTATTTATGCAGTTTGAAGTTCAAAAGAAAAGTTTTCAAGAAAACATATATACAAACCTGCTTCTTTTCTTCAGCAGAATCTATTTGGTCAGGGAAGAAGGTATCGAAAACATTGCGAACCAAATCTGTTGTAGTTGCTTTTGTCCACTCTGCCTTTTTATTCACATGGCTTCTACGTTCTGTTTTGCGCATTGCCCGTCTGAAGAGCATGTATGAACATCAGTTTTACATCAGAAAACAGATAAGTTTGTATAGCAGCTATCTATTATTTTACTTATATAACTGATCAGCATACCTTTTACCAAGGGTTACTCCCGACAATTTCATTAAATTTCTCATGCATGGAGTTATAATAAGCATATCACAATTGGTAGACGCACTATCAAAGCTTTGAACTTGATCACAAATAAACTGGGAGTGACGAAGTAAGCTATCCTCTGTGAGTGGCCCCAATCCTTTAGGTGGTACAGTAGTCTAAAAAAGAGAAAGCATTTTATAAAATTGAAATTTTTCATTTTAAATGTAGATTGCAACTACCCAGTAACTAGTTTTGGCTTACATGTAACTTGTTTAACAAGTCTTCATACATTGGTTCTACTTCGTGGAGTAAAAATTCAATGACAAGTTTACTCATAAATATTTTTTCCCACATAGGCTTCATAAAATTAGAATACTCTTCAGAGGGTTCCATAAGAAAATATTCCCCAAATGCTGTTGAAAGTCCAATGAGAACTGATTCACCTCCATCAAAACCAGATACCCACCACTCATTGATAGGGCCAATTTCCATTGCAGGCACCCCATCTACAGTAGAAAATTTAAAATAAGAATTAACAATTCATGAGGGAAGTAAGTTTTTGTTGTGTACATAAATCCATATTTTAAAGAATCACCTTCTGGATCTGGATTTTCTTCATACACAGGTTTCATAAAACCAGAAGCAAATAATAAAACATTATCTTCAATCAGGCCAGAATCAAGTGGACACAGGTGACCCTGCTTGTCATAAATGCTGCAAAAATAAAATAAAACTTTTGTGCAATCACAGTACATTGGAAGGTGGAACTAGTTTTACAACTCTAGTTATACCTAAATGCAGTTAATTTATTCTGAGGGCGCTCATCTGCATCATTGATACAAGCCTCATCACCAGTAAAGAGTGACAGTTTTGGATTTGTAAGCGCAATGAATTCTTCCACTGCGTCTTTTGGGTGACCTGGGTAAAAGCACATGTAGGGGCCATCCAGTGCCTGCCTGCAAATCTCGCACCTTTTGACAGGTCCAATATTTGATGAGGAGCTTTTGAGTTCCCTGAAACGTAGAAAATCAGAATCAGAATACTGATAGCATTAAAACAACACAATTTTTTGAAAAATGTGTTTAGATCAAAATAAAATTTCCTCTTAATTTTAGCCCAGGTGGTTTAGATTGTTTAGATCTGAAGTTTTGTCTCAATAATTAATACATACTCAGGTTTATCTTTGCCATCTTTTTCAAGCTTCAACTTCTTTTCAACTGGCGCCTGAGGCTCTTCTTTTACTGTTTTCAAAGGTGTACCATCTTCACATTTACGCTTGAGTTCATTTACTGCCTCTTCCTCAGAGGGCGGTTCTTCTTTGATAAGTACACTGTTGGTTTTGGATACTGATTCATCTACAGCTGAGGTAGGTAACTTCTCAGAAGAAGGATCAGGGTCTTTAGAGTTTGTGCTCATGGATTTGCTGGAGTTTCCAACTTTTCCAAACATACTCAGAAGGGTTTGTTGAGTGCCTTGGCCTTTCTTTTTCTCTAACTTTAAACTTGGGGTTTTACTGCCTGATGACTTGGGTCCTAGAGAGAGAAAATAGATTAAAAGTATGTACACTCACCACAGAATCCTGGATAATTTAAAATCTCTCAACCTCGAGACATACCATTGCTGACGGCAGGTTCTGCAATAGGGCTTGCAGATGACTTATCCATATTGTTTGCTTGTTCTGAACCACTACTTGTTCCAGCATTAGGATCAATCTTAATAGTCATGATCGAAAGTCAATAAACATCCTGTAATATTCAAGTCTTACATGAGAAAACATACTTCCTTTGTGACTGAGGGGCCCTTTGAAGGCAAGCTCAACTTGGTCGAGCAATGACTGGCAAATCAAACTACCTAGGAAAACCCACTGAAAACCTCTCTTGGCTCAAGAAGGATAACAATAGTGAATAGAGTGAAATACAGTAGTGATAGTTTTAATATTATAACAAGATACATTACAAAGAAAGGTGCCTGAATCTGATTGTCTGATTTATTGATTTCTGGCTGACAGAGAATAATACTTACCAATGCGAAAAATAAATACAGAAGACTAAAATAGCAACGAAGTTGTAGACCGGCTTCAGTGATTCGGGAAATACACCATCAACATTCGATTTTCATCATTCATTCAATGTTGCAGCTGTAGTTCAATGAAAAGCAGAAGATGGCAACACACCCGGCCCGGCCGCGCGAAAAATCTTTGACGCGGGTCAGCGTTTCGAGTTTCGGGGAGGGAGGTGGCTGTCGAATTTCCGTCTGTATCTTCTATCTCGCTCTGCACCGCTTCAATCAACAGGCGCTATCTCTCTCAAATTTTGAAATGAGCAGGCAGAACCTTTCGGAACGCACCATAAAATGTTGCCGTGTGTTGCCGTAGGTCAGAAGGCGGTGCTTCGAGTGCTCTTTGAAATCCACTTTAGCCAACTGTGCCTGTGAAACCCAATGTTGTTTTCTCGACTTTTTACTGATTTAACCATCTCCTCAATCAAAACCAATACATTTTTCCATTTTCGCTTATTACATGTTTGCATGATTTTAGTTTGAACCTTAAAACGTTCTTCAACCATTGAACGTCCGGGTCATTCACCGTGCTCGAATGTTGTCGTTTGTCGTGTAGGGTAGTGCAGTTGCCGTCGCTGTCAGTTTGTTTTGGTGCATTACACTTGGAGTTTATTGCAGAGAAAGCTATGGTTTTCGTCAAAGTTTCGTGTTTTTGATTCCCCCTGCGTTTAAATACAGTGTCCAGCAGAAGACCGGCGCGGCATCACCATGGGACAGTCTGGGAGCAGCTTTGCACAAGGTTAGTGACACCTCTGTTCTGCTAGCGGCTGCCCCTGGCAGCGGCCTCATGTAGGCAGATAATCTGCAGCAAGTCGTCCCAAGATGACTTATCTCACCAATAGCTACTAATAATTGAAAGGCATTGATCTCGACCCTTTCCTGGAGAACTGTATACATCTGCATTGTGACGTCCCGATCACCCTCAATTTTCAGTACAAGTTCCCCTAAGGTTCAGTAGTCAAGAGGACATATGGAAAACTATGCAGATTAATGCCTAGTTTCAAGCGTTTCTGATGATTCACGAAAGACATTGGATTAGAAAAGCTGCTTGTACTCCATCAAGTACATTCGACACGGGTGCATGAATCCATCCATCTTCTATTACTACTCAAGCTTTGTTGACATTAATCAAAACCTCTCTGCGAGTGTTTTCTATGTTTCATTTCGACGATTCTTGGGGACTATTGGACTATTGGTTGCTGTCCGAGTTTGTTCCGTCCTCAATGCCACTGACGAAAGTGGCCTCATCCCATCACACTGAAACAGTTGCGCTGGTCATGCAGCTACGGTTGTGCCTGTGCTGGTTTTACAATTTAACGGGTAGTCCAGCGTAACAGGGGAGCATAGACAGCAAAGGACGATGGTGGCATTTGGTAGTAGCGGAAGTAGCTTTCGCCAATACCGGCTCTTGCTCTTGGCTCTGCCAGCTTGCCACTTGTAGTACGACGGCCGCGCCGGGCCTGCAGCCGCGCACCCTCGTGTGTGTCAAAGTGGCAATCAGAAGCCATTAGAATGGTCAGGATGTTGATTTGGGAGGGGGGGAGGCGTCTGTCCTCGCGGTCCGGGAGCCCTCTTTGGCAGGGCGTTGTCCAGCCCAGCGGCGCGCTGGGTCGGGGGGCAGCTCGCCAAGCTCGCCCTTGATAAGCCCAGGCGCAGCGGCAGAGTGGAACAGCACAGCGCAGGCAATGACTGCTACTATCGCTGTCACCCACTCTCTCTCGCTCTGCCCGCCGTTCTCTCCGGCGGCCGGGGGCCGTCCCGTCTCTCTCTCTCATTGGCTGACCCGGCCCCCGGCGCGCGCCCCTCTCTCGCTCTCTCAACTCATTGCGGCTGACTCAGTCAATCTCTCAATCTGCTCCGTGTGGCCTCAGGATTCTGGTCCGTTGTTGTAAACTTGCCCTCCACCTTCTTTTTTACCCGCGTCATTTTTTTTTCTTCCTTTATCCGCGCATTCTTTATTTATTATTTTTTTTTCATTCCTCTCGCACCTACCGTCTAAAGTAGCGGAGACGGCCTGACTGACGTGGGCGTTGGTTGGAACTCCCTCCCTCCCCACCCACTGGGGCGCCCGACGGGCAGGCAACCCAACCAACGCTTGCCGAGCGGCCGGGTCGAGCCTCCACGAGCGCCGTGCGGATAGGCAACCCAACCTGCCCCGGGGAGCCGACCATCAACACAGAGACGAGAATTTGAATGTAGGCTGTAGAGAACCCCAAGCCGCACCAAGACAAGATAGAAAAGTACAAGAACACCAGGAAAAGGTATCAATATAAACACATCAATCAAATCGAACGAAGAGAGAAAAGAAAGACGACGTTAGGGTATCCTTGTCTGATATGTTTGGGAGAAAGCTTTATTCTTTTAGAGTTTTCCCTCCGACTTCTTTGCGCACGCCATGCATTTAATGTTTTGCAGTATGATTTACTTGGTCACTGCCTAGTTTTATGCACGGTTTAGACTGGCTACGATTGTCATTTAATGGATACGTTCTAGTTGAAAATCAGCCAATCAGAGGCCTCGAAAACCCACTAGAACGTATCCAATAAATGACAATCGTAGCCAGTCTTAACCGTGCAGTATACTGTTGAATGACATTTGCGCATACAGCTCCCACCCCCCTCCCCCTTTCCCCTATGCGATCGCGTTAAAGCGCCGCCGCTCGCCACAGCGCCGGCCGGCGCCGGGCGTCACGATCCCCACGATCCGTCGCCGTCGTTGTTCGTTCCCCTCCTGATCCGATCTAGCGGAGCGGACTAAGCCACTGCCGCGCCGCGCGGTCCGCGGTGCCCTGCTGCACATTGCGTTGTCACGTGGGGCGTGCCGCAGGTGACGGCGGCGGCGGCGGCGGGCCGTGACGGGTCGGAGCGTGACGAAAGGGGGAGGATCGGCGTGGCACGGGGGGCACACGGGCCGTCACACTACTCCTACTGTACTACTCCATGTACCGGGTATGGGTAATAGGGTATTCCGCTGCAAGCCAGCCGGAACCTAGAGAAGAAAAGCATGACTGCCCGATCTGTTTCCTCCTGAATGCTGATTGGTCAACGATGACCTTGTCACGTTGGTCAGCCAATGAGCGCACAGAGGGAAGCAGATCGAGCAGTCCTGCTTTTCTTCTTCAGGTTCCGGTTCGCTTGCAGCGGAGTACCCTATTGTATACAACGGTGACTCCTCGCCCTGGAGTCACTCAAGTATACCATCGGAAATGTATTTTTCAGTAGAATCGGGAACAGTATTTATATATTGTCGCTCGAGTCTAGTTTTCCTCAAAATTAAATAAATATGCGTCGCCCCTAACCTTCAGATGCACTTTGAAGACGACAGAATAACTTACGTTTACGGCTTGTCTGCATTTTATGATGTACTTTTAATTGAAATGAAGTAAAGAAGTACATAACTCTATGGCACATCAGTTTTCTGTTTCTAAATCTATATTTGGTTTTCTTTAATAAACTTCTAATACCAAATTTGTTGTTAATTCTTCCAGGAGCCCTGTGTAACTTATTGCGTCTATGTGGAGTTATGAACACTGAACAAGAACTGCTGCATCATTTTTCAATCAGTTTATTCAATAATAATACTATTTAAAAATATCACCTTTGAATTTCATTTGTATCATAGGTGAGGTGGTTTAAAGTAGAAATTTACCCTGTTGTTGTTGTTGCTGCTGCCAACCCACTTTTTGGGCGGATGGATTAACTTCTGAGACTTTTTGGTGATTGCAATCGTGTGAGTGGTAACTTACGTAGCGTCTCTTCGCTAGCTCCTATCTCGGCTCGCCTGACACTATTGCTGCTGTTGTCGCCCGTCATATCCAGCCACGTTCCATCATCTCCTCCAACACGTCGCTGATGCGTTTGTTCCTCTCGGGCGCACTCTTGGTCTCCACCTTCAGCATTTCTTTCATGTCCGCCCCCTTTTCGAACTGCTCGTCCATGTCGGGGATCTCGTCCGGGTCGGCCAAGAACAGGGGCACGGTCATCACGGCCATGCCCAGGCCAAAGCGCATGCGCTCGCGCAGCTGCGCCTGGACAGCAAGGAAGTGCGTCGTTAGGGTCGCATATTGTGGGGGACTTATTCCTTCACCTGCGACACGTCACTCTCACTCACTTGCATGGTCTCCCGAGAGTACACCTTGTCCGGGTCGCTGCCTAGCCGCCGCAGGTTGGCGGACAGCTGGTCGTGGTATTCCCCGAGGAGCTTGTCGAGGTGTTTGTCGCGGAACTCGCGGACTGTGCAGCAGTAAACCAGGTACGCGATGTCCAAGACGGGCGGCCCGAATCGGGCAAGCTGGAAGTCCAGCAGACACACCTCCTCTACAGAACCCGCCTGAGAGAAGGGAAGTCCTCAATGTGATTAGTCGGAAACGAGATTAGAATTGAGGTTCTGCGTCGCACTGACACAACTTGACGCACCTCGCTGTGCTTGAAGAGCACGTTGTTGGTCCACGTGTCGCCATGGAGTATGGCGTTACCGCCGTCTTTGCTTTCGGCGGTCAGCTCAGCCATCACTCCAATGTACCCTTCCAGTAGACTCTTCATCTTGATGTAGCCCGCGCTTCCCTCCGGGAACCTTTCTTTGATGTAACCTGTAACCCAGACAGTCCAACTGCCAACTTAGTCCTCGCGCCAGGTCGAAGAGACTCTCGGTGAGACTCTGTTAGATGAGACTAGTGCGGCGCGCCGGCCGTGTGCGCCCGCATACCATAGGTACGCTGCACCATCTCTTCGAGGTACGACGCGCAGGGGTTGCTCGCGCAGAACAGCGTCTCCCTGACGTGGCCGCGCAGCTTGGCGAACTCGTCGGGCCGCTGGTCCTGCATGGCGATGGACGCGGCGTGGAGGTGGGCGAGCGCGCGCAGCACCGCGCGGACGTGGTGCTCGTCGAGCCCCGCCTTCCGGTCCTGCAGCGTGAAGCCGAGCGGCCTCATGTCCTCGAGCACGATGGTGTCCTCGCCCTCGACGCCGCCCTGGTGCGCGTGGTGCAACGGCGCCGTGTACGGGAACGACGAGTCGCGGGCGTCCACGTCCGCGCCGCGCACCTCGCCGACGAAGCGGTTCAGGCCCGGCAGGACGGTGTGGTACACGTTGCACTCGTTGTCGAAGAAGACGACCATGCGCGTCTCCCTCCGGCGTCGCTCGCTCCTGGGCATGAGCTTGGCGATGAGCCGCAGCGTGGGCTCGGCGGCCTCGCCCTCCCTCACCTCGACGCGGTACAGCAGGCCCAGGTAGTTGTCGCCCGGCTTGCTGCCGACGGACACCGTGTACCTGCAAGAGTCGTCGTGAGTCGTGTCAGACCTCGATACCAAGTTTAATACCGCGAATCGACGTCGCGATTCCCCCATGAGGTCGACAAAGACAAAATGCCAGGTGCTGCCATCTTTGAGGATGCTGGGTTTGCAACCGGAAACCGGGATCAGCATGTATGCTCGGCATCGTGCCCCGGTGGAAGGGCCTAGTGATATGAACGGCTCCGGTCGGATCATGAACCTTGGGCCAAAAGAGGCCTCGTGGTTAGTCAAGTCAAGTCAGGTGGCTGCGCGCTGCTGCGCCTGAGCGCTACCAGTCAGCCTGTCGGGTAGGCAGGCCCGCCGGGCGCGTACGCGCAACAGCTCTGCCTATCCGACCCCTTGCGGCCCCGGCCCGCGCGCGCTCCGGCTAGCTGAGCTGGGCGCGCCCCGTTTGGATATCCGTAGGACCTGTGAGACCGGCCAGCGGAAAAAAAATGTTAGGGGTCATTATCTTATATACAATACTCCTAATGGACGCCATTTGAAGAGAAGAGTAGCTGCTTTCTAATGATACTGAACACCTTACCCCAAAATACAATGTGCCAACCAAAGTGCGGGAATATTGACTTTAACCTCACTAAACTACAGTTTAAGAGCATCACGTTGTTCAAAAAGTCGTATTCCGAAGGCTCAAATCGAAAAAAAGGAAGAAGTACCCCCCCCCCCCCAAAAAAAAAAACAAAAAAAAAACACCCATTTTACGTTTCGATGCTGGCTCAGTGGGGCTCTAGAGGCAACGGTTGAAGAAACGTGGCCACTTAAAGGTCACACTTCGACCTATTTTCTATGAAATACGGAAGTTGTCATCGATTCTCTAGTGGTTCAAGGGGTCTAGCACCCCGCTGAGACGGTATCTGCCTGGTTGAAAGATGAGCGCACAACGTTTACTTGGGGTATTTTCAAATCCGCCTGCTGCTCTATAAGGAGCTATGATGTGATGATGTGATATTTCAAAAAAACGTTATTTTAAAATTTAATATTTTTGTATTCTTATCGAGTTTTTGACAAGAATTCAATATTGCTCAAGAATTCAACAATATCGCTCCTCGGTAAGGTGAAAACTATCCCGGCTTGATAAAGGTTATGCCATTGCCGATATTCCCGAATCACGTTCCAGTTTTGATAAGCAGATTTTCAGGCTTATTTTGATGCCTTATTGAATCTAAAGATACAAGCCTTAGCGCGCCTGTATTTTGGATTTGCTTTTGGGAGCTGGGCTGGACCGTCTCGTTACCGGCCGCGGCAGGCCAGTTTTTTTTCTTCCCCCGCTTAAATCGGCGTCATTTCGGCACTCGACGTCGACGACGACACACTGCAGTGGGATATGTGGTATACCTCGGTTCCTTGATGCCCTTCTTCTCGGTGACCTCCTGAAGGATGCGCTGCAGGTGCTCCGTCGGGATTGTGTCCGTCGGTTCCATGGTGGACGTCATGTTGGCTGGCCAGGCGCGCGGCGCGGTGCTGGTGGTGGTGGTGATTGTGGTGGTGGTGGTGGTGATTGTGGTGGTGCTGGTGCTGGTGGTGGTGGTGGTGGTGGTGGTGGTGGTGGTGGTGGTGGTGATGCTGCTGCTGGTCAGAGAGCGCGTGCCTGGCGAACCGGCGGACGGGAGGGCAGGCGCACTCGCGCTCGGCAGATCGCCGTCGTCGCGGGTTTGCAGCGGTCGGAGTTGAGGTTCGCGGCTGAACTCAGCGAGATGAGAGCGGCGGCGGGAGTCCTAGAGGCCAGGCAGTGAGGTGATAAAGAGATATAGGCGGCCACGAGCGGGCGTGGTGGTGGGGGAAAACGGGTTCCTCTTTGCCCCACGCTGCTGACCTGTCATTGGGTGATCAAGGGAAATGGTTCCCCCAATAGGCGGCCACCTAACTCTCCGCGAAAAACCGTGTACAGGGATTGCGCAATCCCTGTCAGGCGCGGTGGAACAGGAGGGGGGGGGGGGGGCATGTGGGCCATTGCCCCCAAATCGTTCCGCCGCGCCTGATCCCTGTACAGGGATTGTGCAATCCCTACAGATTCGAAGGGATTCGAAAGATTCTTTAAAAAATCTATGGATTCGAGGATCTGAAGATTGGAAAAGAGTTGTAGGGATTGGAAGAGATTGGCGAGGACTGGCGTAAGATTGGAGCGAATTGGCGAAGGTTGGGGTTAAGATTAGGATTGGCGAGGATTTGAGGAAGATTTTAATGGATTGGAACCCAATTTTGGCAGGATTGAACTTATTGGATTTGGTATGGGCCGGCATGATTTCTTGGGTTTGGGAAGATTGTTGAGGATTTGAGAGAATCATAGTGAAATTTGGGGAGGTCGCAGGAAGGATTCTAGGAAAATTTAGGACATTTTGATGGATTTTAGTAATTTTGGGGATTTTAGGGATTTGAAAGATTTGGGGGATTTGAAAGATTGGAAGGGATTGGAAAAGATTCGGAGGGATTGGAGACGGATTGCAAAGGGATTGCTCTAGCAAGCGTACAGGCATTTTCGAAGTTATGCACCCCTCGAGTGCAGCCGCCCATTCGGACATCGCCGGCGGAACCCCGTCAACACTCTGTCAACTCAAATGTGTACATGGTACACATTAAAGAAAGTGTACATATGGCATGTATGCTTTAATTAATGTGTACATGGATATGTACACATTTATTAAAGTGTACATGAATGTGTACCATGTACACATTTGAGTTGACAGAGCATTTGCTTATTTGCTAGTACATAGTTTTGCGCGCGCACGAGGGAATGGAGATGGGCTTGTTGCGGTAGGCGGTAGGTCCATCGTGGCTGGACCCGGACGAGATTATTCCCTACAAATTAGGGCTCTGAAGGCTCTGAAAACCCGGAACGGCGGGTAGGGGAAGGTGGGGTACTATGGGACGGATTTTTTGATCACGCAGCGTGGAAGAGAGGAATGCTGTTAAGAAGGAGAAGATATGGGGAACATATAAAGTAAACCTTGCTTTTTCAAACCCCATTTGAAAAATGTCAACTTTCCGTGCCGAAATATTTTAATTTGTTTTTTGAAAAAAATGTTGCATTTGTCCCATTGTTCCTGGCTGTTGGGTACAATGGGACACCCGT